GTGAGATGTTACGTATGGTTAGTTTGCCAGGGTCCGTTTTGTTCTTTTCCCATTCCTTTCTCAAAGTTTTCCTTAGCTTCCGCCCCTTGGGGTGGAGGAGGGTATGGGGGAGTCGAAGGTTCTACAGCTTAAACCAGGTTGCTAATTTCCGTCATAGATCTGCCTCTTTATCTTTCCCTCAATTGAGATGCAAGCTTCCTCTTCAGTTAACTCTGTATACCCAGCAGGGCAGCCCGTAATTCTTTCAACTTCAGTAACATGAAGTAGACGGGGTTCTCCTTGCTTCATGCACTTAACTACTAGTATGCTGGCTTTATTCCCAGGGTGACAATTTGTTGTCATAACACAATTGGTTTTCTCATTTTATGCCTTGGCTTTGTTGGTAACAAATTGTAGGCAAGTTTTCGGATGCGACTCAATGTCAGGCATTTGCTCCGGAAGGGAGATGTTCGTCCAGTACAACCGCCGCCTTTGCTGTGGTGATACCCACTTCGAATCAGCGAGCCCAGGCACAACTCCCCTTAAGTGCTTCGTAATCTCAAATCTATCTTCCTATTTCATTGAGAAAACATTCTCGAGCAGAAACCATTTTGGTTTCGCCTTATTCATTACTCTTTAGGTCATATAAAAAAAGTAATCCACTTTTCGACCCGTGCAATCCATGTTCTCCCGTCATTCTTTCCTCAGTCTTATGCCTAGCTTGTTCCCATGTATTTTTCGCATGTCATTTTGCCCAGCTTATGTGCGTCATCCTCATTCGTCCTTTCTCGCATCCAGGCTTTAAAATGCGCGTTACTCAGTCCCTCTTATTCACATATTTTTTTTGGCCTCTTGCCAGGCCTCTCTCATACTCATGCAAAGTCCATTATACATGTATTTCTTTTTTGGGCGTCTTGCCAGACTTTTCCTTAGGTCTACGCAAAGCCAATTTCACATCTCTTTTTTTTCTGAACATCCAGCCAGGCCTTCTCTCAAGCCCATGCTAGGTCAAATACTCATTCATTTCTCTCCTGGACATCTTGCCAGGTCTCTTCCCAAGCTCATGCAGTCATTCACGCATCTTTTCCTCAGCTGGGCACCTTGCCGGGCCTTTTCTCGAGCTCATGCAACGTCAATTACTCATCCGTTTCTGTTCTGGACACCTTGCCAGGTCTTTTCTTAAGCCCATGCAACGTCAATTATTCATCCGTTTCTCTTCTGGACATCTTGCCAGACCTTTTCTCAAGCCTGCGCAAAGTCAATTACTCATCCATTTTTTTCTTCTGGACATCTTGCCAGRCCTTTTCTCAAGCCTGCGCAAAGTCAGTTACTCATCCATTCTTTTCTTCTGGATAACTTGCCAGGCCTTTTCTCAAGCCTGCGCAAAGTCAATTACTCATCCATTCTTACGCTCATGGTATCCTTCTCTTTTGCACGCTTTTTCATCGGTAGATGGTACACCTTCCCCCCACTCAAAATGCGATGTCCCCATCGCACGACTAGTTCTCACTCGAAGGTACGCAGACCTTGGCGCACCAACTGAGTAGACGGATGCCGGCCCATCAGCCCCAAAAAGGAAGGGTGATCAGTCCTCCCCCTGCTGATAACTCACCTCATCCCCTACTCCAGTCCGACCTTTTGCTGCTTACGAGACGGGCGTCATCACTGAGGTACCACCCCACATCTGGAAGGTAGGTCCAGTCCAAGCCTCCCAGGACCCCATCTTGTCGTAAGTGCTTTCTCGCGAATCGTTCCTCCCGAGCGGTGTTTTCTTGGATCCRGCCTCTTCCTTTCAAGAGAGTTGGGGYTCTCTATTAGTCTGCAAGTGCAGTTACGAAGACCTCGCGGTTAGTCCCGGAACGGTTGTAATGATCCGGCAGGGCGGTGTCACTCGCCCTGTGGTGGTTGCGGGTTCCACCCGGTACCACGCCCGATTCCTCCCTCTGGACAGTGCTGCTCAACTTAACGCGAGCAGCCGTGGTCCATTCCAAACGGCCGTGTCGCCCCTCTACGGCATGGCGTGTGGTTGGGGAGAAAAAAATGAGACTTAGGAAAAAGAATGGCTTTCTCGCCCGTTTGGCACCACGCCTTTGACGTTTAGGTTTCAACATGAGGCGCAGTTTGAACTCCCCGACTAGAGCTCGTTTTCGGGGTTAGTTCCGGACGGCCAGCATCAATCAAAGAGAGAGGTGCTTTGGTCCTTCAACCCTTATTCCTTCTTATGAGGAGCAGGTCGCGCTCCCTTAACGGGTAGAGGTCTTGGGGTCGCGATGCAGTCATTGCTAGACCTGAGACTAGAAAAATAAAGAAAGCTCAATCTCTTGCTATTTTCATGGTCGGCCCGACGACCTTACATCAAGTTGCCTAGGGTCTCTTGACTATGCAATGCAATATTCAATTTTCAAGCACTCAATCCCATGCTATTTCCAAGGCTGGTTATCATGGCTGGTCCAACAGCCTCTCATCAACAAGGTCACCCACATGGCCGGTCTGGCGGTTATTTTCTCAATAGTCATTTCTAAAGACTGACCCATCCGCCCATTCAATCCTCAATTCTTTCATTCCTCCACACCCAATCTCTGTGACCGTCCCAACGGTCCCTGCCCTTCTCGGCTTTAAGGCTCCGCCTTCTTTATCCTGTCCTTCTCATTCACATCTTTCTTCCGCCCCCTTGGCTATTTCAGCGGTCGACCCACCGGCCTTTTCCATCTCTTCCGTCCATCCCATTGGCTATTTCAATGACCAACCTGCCGTCCTTTTCCATCTCTTCCATTCATCCCATTGGTTATTTCAATGACCGACCCACCGGCCTTTTCCATCTCTTATTGCTCATTCCAGCACATTCTCAATCAACCTTTCTCAATCAAATATGCAGGGGACCCCAGTGCCTATTTCAAAAGGAATGACCCTTGTCAGGGGCCATTCCCGAACAACCTGGTTAGGGTCGTTCTTTTTCATTCTCAAGTGGAACAGCATGGTTAGGGCCGTTCCTTTCCGTTATCAAGTTGAACAGCCTGGTTAGGGTCATTCCTCTCCATTCTCAAAGCGAACAGCCTGGTTAGGGTCATTCCTTTAGCCTGGTTAGTGCCATTCCTTTCCATTCTCAATGTTAGTGTCCGAGGGGGTGGCCCTCGAGGTTACGGATCCCATTTCTGTCTTGGAGGTTAGAAGGTGGCCATCTCATCTTTTGCGTGCTGTTTTCTTTCTTCCATTTCTCACAGTAATGTACCATCCATTTCATTTCTCACAGTAATGTACCATCCATTTCATTTCTCACAGTAATGTACCATCCATTCCATTTCTCACAGTAATGTACTATCCATGCATACATCCGACTTAGCGTCTAGGACTCGAGTTGGGGCTCGCGACCCCAAGCAGCACTAGCTCACCCGATCGTTCAACCACAGCAAGAGACAGGGGCGCCCCCTTTTTTCTTCACTCGTTCCACTCAGATCTTGACAATTCTCAGACTAATTCATGACTCAGTTGGATTAGGCTCCTAGGGAAGGAGTATTCTTCATACCCCTTAACCCATAGGTTCCCTAACCTCTCTTGTACTCGACCAATCATTCAATGCCATGGTTCGCTCGTCAATCCGTACTCAAGGTTTTCCCCTCTCAAAAGCATAATCCTTATTCCATCCAGAATTCACTATACATCCCCTCCCAACTGGTCTCATCCCATGCCCCATGTCCTTGTCTTGTGTACCCACTTTCGAAGGTAGCTCATCCAAAAGTAGCCCCAATATGCTATCTTCTAATCTTATCACGACGCAGTCTTAGCTGGCCCTTCCATCACTCATCCTTTGCAAGCTTACTCATACTATACACATTCTGCTCCAATGTTTTGCAGTTGAGAAATAAAACCAGGATTCTTGCCCAACACTCAATCAACATCTAATGCCTATTGCTATCTTGTGCCTCAACTTGCCCGTTTCTTGGTCCACCCTGTTCCTCGACAGGCTTCCTAACCCCCAGGCCGTAGGTGTCGATTTCTCTTTTCATGCTTACAATTTTCCATAACTCTGCCTCGTTAAAAAAATCCAGTGGTGTGGCTTCCACCCCTGCCCTTGCAAGTTTTCGAGTCTTGATAATCCATTCGTGCCTGATCACATTAGTCCATTGCTGAAACCAATGACTGGGCGTTGGCCCAAACTCGTCCTCCCATCTGAAAGTCTCGTCGCCCGGCTGGTGCATCGGAGGCCGCCCCTCTTCCCTAGGCCTCGAGATCTCATCCTTCTCATCCCCGCTGCTGATTTCTATGACTTCTCGCACATCCTCGTCCTCGTCCTCCTCGTCCTCTGTCTGTATGGGGACGCTTCGTCCTTCAAGCGGGCTTTCCCTTCTTTCCTCACCCTCCTCATATTCGTCGCGCATGCCTTGTCCCCCCTCACTTTAATCATGCCAAGTCTCACGTCGCTTGCCCCTATTGACTCCTTCCTCGTCAGAGACCTGAGCCTTATTTCCCTTCTCGGCATTGCCTCCTTTTTCCACTTCTGCCTTTTCCTTCCCTCCCTCACTATCAGACGAGATTTCGATACCTTCTCCCTCGTGGAGGGGTGAGGGTTTCCTACACAAGCATTTCCTTCCTCCCCTGCCTACCACTGGGCCACCCATGAGTCCTATATAGAACTTTCTCTTTGTCGCTTTCCTCCCTTGGCGTGGTCCTGCTCCCTCCCCTCCGGTAGGCCTGTTGATTGCCCCGCTGTCATTTTCATCACTGAACTTCATCTTCTCTTTTCTTTTAGACCCTATATAACAAAACAACACCCGCAAAGGCCCCCATGCACCCATTCCCCCAGTCTGGTAGGTAGTTCCCCCCTTTTTCCCAGAATGCTCCCAACATCCTTCGCAACATGCCCCTATTATACATGCCCCTATTATACATGCGAATGCGTCATTTGTGATGACCCCATTTTTTTCGGTCAAAAACTATGGTACAATGCCCCAAACATCCCTTCCCGTTGTCACCCAAGCCAGATATTGCAAACCCCCAAGTCACGCTGCTTTTCAACCTCAGTCAGTCCAAGCCAAAGCGCCTGTCCCAAAAAAAAAAAAAAAATGACAGTCCCATGAACATGGTCAGAAACAAACCATAGTGTGGGCAAGGCTGTGGTCAGTCTTTAGCTTGTGGCCCCTCAGTTTCCTTATCTTCGGCCTCCTGAAGCCATTGTTCCACTGGGTCCCGGCTTAGAAACCTGACCAATCGTTGCCTCGGGAAGGGTCCTTTCAATCCAGTTCCATCCAAATCTTCCAGTTCGAAGGTGTTCAGTCCCAACCGCTTGGCGACCCGGTAGGGGCCTTTGAACCTCTTTCCCAGTTGTCCCGACCAAGTACTTTCTAGTGCCGAGTTCCTTAGCAATACCATCTCTCCCACTTGAAGTGGCTCCTTTCTGACATTCTTAACCTGGTCCCATTGCAACTCTTTCCTTTCCCAAGATTCCACTAAGCTCATCACTGCTTCCTGGCCTCCCTCGACTGCCATTGCTATTAGATCCTCTTTCGGTCCTACTATCGCTCCCCATGAATCATTTTCTTCTCTGCGTCCTCGAGTGGTAACTGGTCCTTCTCTAAGTTCCGCTACTACAGCAGGTGCCCCCTTCTCCAAAGTCTGGATCAATAGTTCTCCCGATGTGCATCCCCCGCTCATCATTTCGTTATCCACCGCGAGAGTCCCTCCTTCGTATTCGAGGAATTCGTCTAAAGGCTCTGCATCCTCCATCCCTTCGGAAGTGATGCGAACCCGACTCAGCCCATCTACCTTGTTGCGGATTCCAGCAATCCATTCGATCTTGTAATCGAACTGCCAGATGAATCCTACCCATCTCCCTACCGTCGGATCTATAGGCCTGTAATTCTTTAGAGCCCCTGCGACATTCGTCGGATCGATCCTTAAGATAAACCGCCTCCCAAATAGGTAGGCCTGGAAGGTCTTAAGGCAATGCAGGATGGCTAAGACTTCCTTCTTGAATTGCGAGTAGCGCCGTTCTGCGGAGTTCAGGGTTCTACTTTCGAACCTAATCGGCCTCTCTTTTCCTCCCTCATCCCTTTGAATCAACACACCTCCTACGGCCAAAGGTCCTCCATCTGTCTCTAGGATGAAGGGTCGTCCCACTTCGTCATTAAGACAAGGCGCGGACAGGGCGACTGTCTCAGATGTCAATATGTCCTTGAGCCTTTGGACAGCTCCTTCTCGCTCCTCCGTCCAATCCATGGTTCCTTCTTCCCTGATCATAGCCCGGATAGGCTCAACAATTTTGGCAAAGTCCTTAATGAAGATCCTCCAAAAGCCGACTACGCCTAGGAATGCCCTTACCTCCGTCGTCGTGCGCAGCGGTGTCGGCCACTTTGATATCTTGTCGTTTTTTGCCGGATCCGTCTTCTTGCCGTAAGCACCGCAACGAAATCGTAGTATAGTAAACTTCGGTACTGCTAGGATACTCTTCGGTTCACTAGCCGTAATGTTGTATACTAGGAACCGGCGGAGTAAGTCCTTAATGTCCTGCAGGTGGTCCCACACAAAACGTCGGATCCCTGGCTGGACTTCCGTCTCGTCCTTCTCCTACGCGCCTTTGATCATATTGTCATCGATGTAAGGCTCACATTTTTCTGGGAACATGTCCCCGGCCACGGCGAGCATCCTGCGTTGCGCTTCAGCCACCGCGTTTGTGAATCCCATAGGGGTCACTTGCATCTGTAGTTGGCCTACGGGGGTGTGCATAGCGGTGTATGGCCTGTCCCGAACATCCAACGGAAGCTTGTCGTACCCTGAGTACAAATCAATCAGGGAGTAAATGCTCCGACCGGCGTGTGATTCTGCTAATAAGTCAGCCTGAGGTAGCGAGCCAGCATCCCGGATGGTTACCGCATTCAACTTCTGCAGGTCCTGAATCCACCTTAGTGTCTTGTTAGGCTTCCGAAAGACGAACCACCGATTTGCGTATGGCGATGCCGTGGGCTCCGCAAGGAAGAAGTCCAACTTTCCTCGGAGGAGGTCTGTTACTTCTCCTTCTATCCCAAATTCATAGGATGGCCCCTTGTCATTCCAGCACTCATGTTCTACCGTGTGGATTCTGACCGGAGGGATCATCTTCGCATCTAGTCGTCCCTTCTGGTGATCACTAAGGGCAAATGTCAGGTGAAACTCCTGGCAGGTCCTTTTGATCAGGCGGTTTTCTTCTTCCGTTAAGAACCCGTCTATCCCTATCTTCATTGTGTCAGCTACCTCATCTGGTATCCGATGTCCCTCCGTCGCCCTTCTTTCTCGGATCATTCGAAGGGCCTCTTCCTCCTTCTCCATAGCCTCTTCCTTTGATGTCTCTAGCATGATCGAGACCGGTTTTGCTTTCTTCCCTACCGGCTTGTACTTTCAAACACTTCCTTCCGGGATCTTTCTCCTAAAAAATGAAGAGTCGGAATTGCCCCCGTCGCCTCTATGACTCGTGGTTGAATACTAACTAGTTTCCCATTCAGGCAATATCCCTTTTGCACCTCTCTTTCGAACTTGGCCAAGGCTGCCGAATCCACCCCTACCTTGTGGTATCTGAGGGCCTTGATGAGTTGTAATAGATCGGGGATCTTGAGTGCGATTTCTGGCACGTTTATGCGTACTTCTTTCCGTTTGGGCAAGCTAGCACCAAGTTCGACCTCTGACTCCTTTTCCGCTACCATAACTCCTAGGACTTCGTCCTCCTGCCTCCTCTTGTTCTGGGGCAAGCCCATCTTGATCCACTCCTTCTTGTTGAATGCTTCCTCAATCATGATTTATACCCTTTCTCTCATACCCTCCATCCGTGTGAAAGCCCCTTTTCGCGTGCTATCCTCGAACGACGGCGACCAAGTTGCCAATTTCCCCTTTGGGGGGTCTCCTCCCGTTCCAAGGAGTCGGAGGAGCTCTCCCCGGCCGGTCACAGGGTCCTCTATGTCTACCATGTATGAGCCATCGTGCAAGTGCATGCCTATCATCTCCACGTTCGCGCACCACGGTCTCCCGAGGATTATGTCGTGGTCTATCTCCTCCATAACGGTCATCCGCTGAAACGACCAGATCGATTCCCTGACCCCTGCCTTTACAGCACACTTCGTGACATACCCAGCGAACGGGATTTCCCCGCCAACTCCCCGGATGTTCCCTGTTACTTCCTTGTTTACCGTACATCCTGTGATCGTTGCGAAATCTCTTCTTATGAGAGTGATTTCTGCTCCCCCGTCTACGAATGCGTCGGTATGATGACTCTCGATCTGGATTTTCAGTTTCCCTACGGGCAGCGCATGAAAGCTAAGCTTCGTCCCGGGTGGTGATCTCATGACTTCGCCACCCTCTCGGTCGGGCAAGCTCAAACGAATGTCTGCAAAGGCCTTTTCGAGATCCTCCAAGTCCCCGTGACTCCTCTGAAGGTTAGCCACTTCTTGCGGAGCTTCCTCCTCCCTCTCCCCTTCTGGTAACTCGGGGTTGTCGCCTATTTCTACTCGCCTCCGAGTCAAAAGTTGTCTGAGCCCTTTGAGCAACCTAAGGCTAGCCTGCAGCATGGTCTGAAAAGACACCGACACCATGGTTCCTAGTAACTTGCTAATGGTGTCGTCGAGCTCAGGCAACGTTAAGATCAGGATTTGATACCGAAACTTCTTCTTCGTGGCGGTAGCCTTGTCCGCAGACTCCTCTTCCCTAGGCTTCCCATAGACCTTTTCCGGTTCCTCGCCCTCAGGCTCTGCCTGGGGTTCGGAGCTTCCGACGACCTCCTCCATAATGGTGTCACGGTTAATCCTTCTCCCGGCCGTTTCCAGTCGAGTGGTTGCGATCACCCTATCTCGTCCGTCGCTTTCCAAAATATAGTTGGCATGCGGCCCGCTGTCGCACTTTTTTCCAGTCAAGCCTCTTCGGGAACCGGAAAGCCAACAGGCTGTCACGCAGGATTTTGTATTTGATTGCAATAGATAAAATAAAATTAAATAATGCAAATCCCTTCCTGTTGTGTGCGTCCGGCTTCGAGCGAGACCCTTCAATTGCGATCTTCGCCGGTCCCCGGTCTTAGGAATCTTTTATTTTGATTCGGAACAGCAGAGAATTATGCAAATAATAATCATAAAATTATGGGGTGCTATGCATGCATCAATTATGTCAATCTGATTTGGAGAATTGTGACAAAACATCCACGAAGGCGATCATACCGACTGACTCAAGCAAAGACAAGGTCAAATGAATAAGGGAAGAATGAGAATTCGTAATAGTCTCAGAAAGTACACATGAACAAGCGTGGTCAGCACCTCGCAAGAGTCCTCACTCATCCCTCTGGTCAGTCTCTTTCAATCTCTTTTCACTGATCTTCTCTGGTGCCGAGACCCACGCCCACGTACGATCTGAGACTGAGGTTTCGTGGCAAAATGCCACCTGTAGCCAGCAAGCTCTGAGCATGACCATCCAAGACACATGACACGGTAGTTAACCATGGAGCAAAACTCCTCCCATAAAGTAGGCAGTCCGTCCACTGAGAAGACTCCTCGTCTGAGGTAGGGATACTCGGTGGGCTCGGTCAGCGCCTCAACGTTGATCACTGCAGGGGAGATGTACCTCTTTGCCATACCAATCAAATCCAACCAACTTGTGCCATCTGTGAGAAGAGAAGGGACWGGACRCCTAGGATAGTCAGTATAAAGCATCGGCCYAAAGCTGCGGATCAGAGTWGTRCCACACTCATCGAGCTCCCTCTCTCTCTGCTCAAGATATTCTGTGGCTGAGATCCAGACTGGGTCGAAGAGTTCATGAGCCTCTTTGCCCTTGTTCAGGTAGGGCCTCAGATCATGAATAGTGCCATCAGCAAAACTGGTCTGRACAACGAAGATTGACAGATSTCCCTGTCTGAAACCAATGGCACTAATATACTAATAATGGAACGCCTCTTTGCATGAGATCCGATTGAGATTGGCTAGTACTGACTCACTGACCGGCGTAGACTGAACTGTGCTCATGAGTACCCTTGCCAGTATAAACTGATCAGGTGGTTCTGGAGAACTGGTTACCAAACTGAYTGCTGGAAACTGGTTGCTGAAAACTGATTGCTAGAAACTGATCGCTAATAACTGATTGTTGATGATTGTTTGCTGAATATTCGGATAAAGTGAGCAACACCTATTTGGAGGCTAAACGCTCACTGATGGCCGCTGACAGTCCTTCTTGCTCCCTCAATAGTACCCACAGAAGTTATGGTGGCACACAATCCGCCGTTCTTATCGCGCAGGTAGTATGTGTACTCTATTCTTGCATGATTTCTCACCAGGGCCAGTGCACTTTCCATCATCATAGTAGTCTGCTGATTGTACTCATCAACTGCACTCTCCCTCCAGGTCTCCGCAGTGCTCTGATATAGCGAGCAGGAGATTCTAATTGTGTTGCCGCTGTCCATACTCTCGCCGATCTCCCGCTACATTGGTTCATCCGACTCAAGACAGGTGATTCTCAGATGATCTGGGCGTGAAAAGGGGCTACTGTGTTGACCGTTGGACTGCTGAAAGTTGTTTCCTGATAACTAGTTGTTGTTTTCTGAATGCTGCATCTTGATGTTGATTAGGGGACTGAGCGATTACTGACCAGAAGACTTAGCAACTGCTCATCAGAGGGCTCGTTCAACTACTGATTAGAAGACTGACTGTTTGCCGCTCTGAACACTTGATTGCTCTCTATTCTAGAAAAATTGTCTGCTCGTCGTTCTAGAAACTGATTACTTAATATTTTCGGAAAACTGTTTGCTTGCTGTTCTCTGCATGTTGTTTCTTAAATGTTGTTTCCGAACGCTGAGTCTGAATGTTGGGTCCGAATGTTGGATCTGAATGTTGGATCTAAATGATGGATTTGAATGTTGGATCTGAATGTTGGACTGAATACTGAACTGTAGGCTGAAATGAACGTTGAAATGTACGTTGAACTGAACGCTTCTTCTGAGTGCTAGCCTGACCACTGATCAAGAGAACTGACTGACTGCTGATTAGGAAGTTGATTAAGTGTTGACCAAGTAACTGATTGTCTGCCGGTTAGGAAGCTGTTCGTCTGTTGATTAGAAACTGTTCATTTGACCGTTCGATTACTGCTAGCAGCACAAGGCCCGACTCACTGGTAGCTGGGTGGAGTACTGTCTGCTGCCAACAGTGTTGAGTATCAAAGACTATACGGAGCAAGCTGATTAGACTTGGTGTCGAGGTCCATCAAGAGAGGAGTCCGAGCACTCTCTTGCCCTTTTTGATTTCAGCAGGTTATCTGAGCCTGGTTTCAGGGTCTAGTTTCAGAGTCTGGTTGCCTGAAAATTATCGGTGCGAGTGCTGGCTTTGTCATGGAGTCGTGAGATCACACATCGTACTGATGTAAAGGAAGACCGCGACCTGTCACTGTCCGATTAATACCGGCAGGGCTCTCTGGAGATGGTCTTGGCGCCACGGGCTCACACGAGCTTGATTCTAGCCTGCTCGACGGTCTCAAAACTCGAACCGGTACTGTGCAGCTTACCATTGCGGCCATAATAGTACAACACATATTCGATATATTTCTTTCCCTCTGCCATCCCGACGGCAACTCCCCTCTGAGCCAACCTATGAAGTTCCATGTCTACACAGGCCTCTTCCTCCCATCCCTCTCTCTTGTCTCTGATTAAGCTACCTTTCACCAGGGTAGTATCACCGGTTACTGACCTCTCTCATTGTTCCTTTTCTTTTTACGTCTTCCAGGGTAGTATCACCGGTTACTGACCTCTCTGTCAGTTCCAATTTCTTAGGGAATAACCAGACTTCGGATTAATTACTAATATTCTCAGTCACGCTAGATAATTGCCCCTACCATCAGGGCTTAACAAAATAGAGGTCTGGGAAGCACTTGCTGAGCCTTATTCAAACTGACTCACGATAGTCGCCTATAGGACATGTTGAAGTTAGTGATCTAATCCTCATCAGTTTGAGTATTTGGGATGGACCATTCCAACAGTCTGAATACTAATCGCGTACTCAACAGTTGATTCAATGTTTTATAATGTCCTAGAGTAGTTTTGTTTCATAAGTGAGACTCTCGTGTAAGAGTTACATCGCCCGTCCACGTTTGCATGGTTTTGGTGATATCCCAACTCACTCGTCTGGCCCACATAATTCTTTGCCATAACACAGAAGGGGAATGCTCTACCAATAACCAGCAGGTAAAATTTCTGCTTAAGACTGTCCCACCCCCAAACTTAAATGGCCGATTATGCACAGTCGAGGGGAGGGACCGCGTGTGCGAGACCAGAAATGACATTAATGTCAGGCAACGTCAATCATAAACTCTCTGAACCCAGAAGCAAACATTCGCTGTTTATTCCAATCTGGTGTCAACAACAGTTCTTATCGTAGTTAGTTCCCCGTTAGTTTTTACGTTGAACACCAACCATGTGCGCGCTGGCACATTGAGTGTCGGACAGGGTTTGAACGGCTAGTCGGGTAAGGGAAAGTAGGTAATGGTGACGGCGTTATTCAAACATCCCCAGACCAGTCTCGGTAAGCATGAACGTTTACAAAGAACCTTTTCACCAGAGACGGCTAATAATTTTAAAATGGCATCAATCGACGTTTCCCTTTTGTAGAAGATGCGAGCAATACTAATCGTTAACTTCAGAGTCCGTACTCTTAGTCGCTAGTCGGTTCTGCACGAAATGCTGGCAAGTCAACTTGTAGCCTTCGCACAATACATGTCAGAAGACCGAAAGTCACTAAACGTGAAGTACCCTGTGATTTGGCTCAAGAAAAGACTT